TCCCAAAATAAAACCACAAATACAAGTMAGCCAGTAGCATTTCTGTCATACACAGCCCAACGTTTCGTTATTTTGCATTTGTTTGCATTGATTGTACTAATCTGCTTTATTGCCTCTTTGYACAGAAAAGAGAAAGCCACTGATAAAAAGTTTAGTTAAATCTCAAGACTTAAGACACTTGTAAATAACACAAAACCATAAAGAAGGAATTTACATCAAACCTTGGGTGAAATCCTAGACTAGCTGAAGCATACAGAGATGGCAAGAGCTTACTTTGATAAATACTGGTTTGGTAGAGTGTGTGAGAATGATATAGACTCTAAGTTTTAYCATTATTGTTTTCTTCATTATTTTCCTCCCTGACTGAATGCATGAGATGGATAACTGGAATTTGTGCCTTTTCAGTATTTTGCTTTACATTATTAACATTATTAAGAATGTTTCAGTGTATGATGTGTATATATGTGAGTCTAGGTTTTTAGAATTCAATCACAGGAGAATTTTGGCACCTACAGTAAGCACATATTGGATATATMACACCTATTTAACTGGAGAAACAGAAGGTGGCTCTAAGCACACAGATTCCATAAATCCACGTTTTAAAGCTGGTTCTTATCCAACCATCTGTATATATAAAAAGAAGCTGCAAAGGTTTGTATTTTGTAAAATGAATATATTCAAAGTCAGGCAGAAAAAAACACTGCATGGATAAGTATTTTGGTAAAACAAAAATTTGACTGCAAATGTATGGATCACTGCAGAGAGATCTCTGAACATCATACCTGGTAATAAATGATATAAACCAAATTACACTCCTCAGTATTTTCTCATACCAGTTCTCTAKTTTTTGTATCTCCACCAAAAATGMACTGTTACAATTCTGCATCAACATGTGAGGCTATGATGAACATAGYCCAAGTGTCCTGATATCATCACAARTAGGATCCCCTGAAGCTSTTTGTTATGAATAASAAGCAGATCAAGCATAACCATTTACAGTGCAAATTCCACTCAGAAAGGGAGCAYTCATTTGGCTGCCCATTGCATTATTTTTTTCATTCTCTCTCCTTCAAAAGTCAGTATSATAAAAGTCAGTACCATTGTCCTAGTGAAAAAAGCCTGGATGGATGTACCTTTAAGTTTACTATGAACTGAGCTGAGGTATTCCCAGGCTTTGTTTTCCCTAAAAGAAGCTATAGAAAACACATTTGCTGTAACTAATAAGAGAAAAGGAATTAATTAYGTAGTTGTCAAACTATTTGATAGYTTGAAGGGAGGGTTTTTTCCAAGTATCTACTGCATCCCATTCAAATTTTCCTGTAGATCTAAATCATCTCAATATGATCTGAATGAATAGAAAGAAACAAAAAAGGAATGATATTGAGGAGATCTGTTTTGAAAATTGCTAGGAAAACATTACTGYTGTCTTTTCAATATGATATTAATAACCCATACCAGTTGCCAAAACCGAAAACACATTCTTATAGTCAGGGAGACAAAGGATTCATACTTACAGTTTTCAATCTTAGGCTTACAACCTGAAAAGATAAATCCAAACTGAAGTGCAATATTCATAGTGTCTCCTGTTTTTACTGCCTAGTTATATGAGTTTATTTTCCATGCACATTGCACTGTTTCTCAGATACTGCAACATTGATCGAAGATTTGCTCAAACTGTAGCACTTTTCTTGTMTCTTTTACATGTAATAAACATAGGCCTTGATCTGATCCTGATTTCTGAGATCTGGAAACTGTGGAAAAGGATTCAACCACAAGAAGATTTAGCACCTTCACATCTACTGTATTTTTCCCTAGGACCTTCCAATCCCATTTTAGCTATTGCTGAAGGGCATTAAAACCCAGCATTATGAGATTAAAGTCTGATACAGAGATTTTTATCTTCTTACTGTCTTTAACTCTGGAAGTTGTGGAAGATGTTCTAAAGCAAATTTGAAAGGCATCACAGAACAAGGAGGAAGAGAATGATGGTTTCTTGACAGGTTTGTGTTGCCCTGGGGGCAAACTGGACAAAATGGAGGTTTTTAAAAAGTCATATTTGTGACCCAACCTGGGCAGTAAATTTGTAGGTCAGCCTGGAGATGAGGAAAGCATGGGTCCTCATGGTCATGTTTTCATCTAAAAGGACAAAAAGTAATTTCCGATGTAAGGAAAAAGGSAATAAACTTAATTAAGCTCTGTTTGAATTGGAGACCTATGCACGAGCTTTACAACTGGAAGCAAAGTGCTTGGAATTCATTTCCACTTTCCTTTTCAGCACAGGCACTGTAACAATGCTGTAGAAAACTCTTATCAACAGGAAAGGGGAACCAATGCATGCATTAAGTATTAAAGGATGGCTTACAGCATGTGCATTTTGCACATTSCCATGTTTCCTGTGCTCCTGAAACCTGAGCACATTACCAAAGGAACAGAAAATCACAAGCATTTTAGGTGGAAAATTTATATATATTATTAAAGATTTGCTTGGAATTGTAATGCAAAGACCTGGTTCACTTTTGTGAACAGGTAGAGGACCAAGTGATGGTCAAGCTAAACCTCCTCTAAACCTAAACCAGTTCMAGTTGAGAGAGATATCAGTTATGCTTGATTTAAACAGATGCATTCAGAGGCTTGAAGACACCTGCAAACAAGCCTGATGTGCACATGCACAGCAAGATGGCATCCTTCCACTAAAAAATATGGAGTTGTACTTTTTGTATAGCAAGACATCAAAATGTGTAATTAAGGAAAACTGCTGCTAAAGCCCAGTGGAAAGATGTTATTCTGTAATTTAAAAAAAAAAAAAGAGTATATGAATGTTATCAGCAATAATTCAAGAGTAACTGCATTGTTCATCAACTAAAATTAGAGCTAGTGCTTTATCCAAGCCACTTTTCATTTATTCTTAACTACAAAACTTTACAGAGAACTGAGGCACCACTTTAAAAAACTCACAATAAGTGATTTATTTTTTCAGAGCCAAGAGAAATACATGCCTATGCCTGGACCATGAAGAGCTCGAGGTTTTTGGAGCTGAAACCTCAGGTATGTATTTTTTCTTCTGTTACTAACTGTCAGAAACAATAAGTTAGCAAGGAATAGGAAAAATTAAAACCAGGTATGGATATAAAAGTGCAGRTTGTTATTGCACATAGAAGACCCAGAATATTTCCAAAAACATTTCTACTTGCATCGTATTTTGCCGAGTGAAACACAGATTACCTTTTATCCTTGATTGCTTTCTTTATAATACACAACAGCTAAGCCTTTTGAATACCACAAATTTTTTTCATTGCTATCATTCTGAATTCAGACTGCGGAATGGGTCAGAGTACATGAGGATATAAATCCAGCAAATGTACTGGCAAAATCCACAACTGGGATAAGTCACTTCAGTCCTCACTTCTGGGTCAGAATGGTGGCCATGGRCTGACAAGATACAAGTCAAACTGGAAATAGCTGTAATCACAGTTTACAAGGGTTAAATATTGACAGCCACTTTGCATATCAGCTGCAGATACCCAGCCTTTGAAAGCCCTAAGCACATCTTTCATTTCAGAAAGGTGCATACACTAAGTTTTTTGCTAAAGTAGGAAAACTAGGCTGAGCTACAGAACTGAGGAAACAGCCCAACATGCTGAAATAGAGATAACAACAAGAAAAATTGATTTGTTTTGGACTTCATGTGAGAAAAAACCRCAAAGTGAGAGACAAATGGGATTAATCCATGTGAGTGCTGACAAGGAAGCTGTCGATGTTAAGGAAGGAAATTACTCATTCTCTTTGCGTATAGGAAAGGCTGAGTACTACAAGGTTGCCTGGCACACCTTTCTGCTCGTTTGGATCAGTCCGGGAAACACCCCGGTTTACTCATGTCCCCCTCACCACAAGGTGGCACAGATGTACTCCCTGGGATTTTTAAATGCCTCTACACAATTTTTAATAARTAACTGGTACCCATTAGAGAGGAAAGAAAGGAGTAGGGATGGGATAAAGGCATGGAATGATAAACTGTATTATATTATCGAGTATAAACAACGAAACATAAGTAAACTATTCTTAATAACCGGATTAATTCCAAACTTTACTTGTTGCTGTTGCTCACTAAAGGGACTGAGGTGTATTCACATCAACAGTGTGCCAGTTAAATAGGATAAGGAGCTATTGAAAACTTTGCTTCTGTATGTTTTACAAATACATACATCAGAAACTCAACAGATTGTAGGGTGAAATGGAACACGGACAGGCTGGTGCCAGACAGGGAAATAGGTACACAAAAGCAAAAAACCTGGTGTATCCACCCATTATTTTGATTATCTCGATTTTAAGCCTGTTGGTTGGTGYGTATTAAGGATTTTCTTACATTGTTGCCAGTTTTCACTCTCACATTGTGAGTTTCCAGAACTAACTGCATATGCTAAGGAAGGCTGCTCCCTGGTAGCAATTTTTCCTTCACGCTGATAAATGTTGTGTTAGAATATAAGACTTTGAAACGTCCAAAGATACAKTCTCATTTTCACCTAGTGGCTGATCAAAAAAATCTCAGTGCAGTAGACCCTCTTTTCAAACCCAAGATATAAAAATACACCGTGTGATCTACAATGGCTACAGCACACTCTTCTCCACAGCATTTAACAGACCCACATTTCCCATACCCTTCAGAAAGGCACTAAGCAGACTGTGAATCCACCAAACTGCAGAAGAGATTTGAAAGCAAACTGAGATAAACATGTGAGTACAAAAGAGAGGAGGAGGAATGTTTTTAAGGACAGAAAAATACTGACCTAAACCAGAGCACAGAAACACTAACCAGCATGTGAAGCAATTCTATCCAGGCAGCACAAAGTATACRTTTTTAGAAAGTAGATTCTTGGAGATTTAAAGCATAAACTATGTACATAGCTCCCTCTGATGACCATTGGACACCATACAATGCAAGTCTCCTTTTACTTTTGTTCGTGCGTTCAACTGACAGCTGACTGGTTAAATTCTAATTGCTTCCAAGTGAGGTCAGCAAAGGTATTTATCGAAAAGGACTGAACAACAGGCTCAACACACACATGCACGCGCACGCATAAGCACATACACACCATCGCTCCAGTGCTTGATTTATGGAAACAATTATAATTCTGGTGGAGTCTTTCTGAACTGAGAAAGTTTGTAGCTACAGTAGAGTGTCTCATGTTGCAAAAAGGAGACAACAGAAATGGAGTACTTGGGTATCCAGCTCTTATCAACAGCAACAAGTAAGTTATCTGTCTTTTATGAGATCATTCAACAGTTTCTAAAGCTAATAACTTATCTTTATTTCTATATGCTAGATACTAAAAAGAGAATTAAGAGAACTASTATTAATCTGAAAAAAGTGTGAATAAAAAAACAGGGCTAAAGCTGTGAGATCTGTTTTGAAACGAACTAGAGAAAAGTTTATGATAGATTGTGCTAATAGTAAATATAAAGATATGAAGTAATCAGGAGAATTTTATCATGCATGAGAAAGCAGTTGAAATTAATSAATAGGAGATTTTTGGAAGGACCTAAAACTGAAGGCAGAACTGTGTTTACAATCAGTGTAAATGTCTGTTCATGTAAAAAGTTGTATGAGAGATATCTATTGTATATGCATTTGCAGAATTTTAAAAAGTGAGCTCAGCATATAATATATTTATGTGTAGTACTTTTCAGTAACATAATGTATCCTTGCACGTTTGTAACAATCGAGCATAAAGACTTACACATGCACCTTTTCTCACAGATCTTTTACTTCCAGTGCAAGCAGCAAATTCAAGTAGTAAAGAAGGTCACGACAACAAAGGTTTTTATAACTTGTGCCTTTAAAGGATATTCTGACTGAAGAGAYACTTAAGAAGCTCTTCTATTTCGCCATTTACTATTAAGGAATAACGATCAGAATTCTAGAAGAGGGAGCAATCTCATTTAAATGAATCTGTAACTCGTAAAGACAGAAGGCAGGTCGGTGACCTAAGAGCAACAATCTACTTGAGATTTAATTTTCATTATGTTGTTCATGAACACCCAGAACACTGCACTATAATGCACAAATGGATACTGACATGGATCCTGCCAATTTTGCTCTACAGATCATACTTTTACATTATCTTTCTAATGGGCACTGTATCTTTAGCTTGCAATGACATGACTCCAGAGCAAATGGCTACAAATGTGAACTGTTCCAGCCCTGAGCGACATACCAGAAGCTATGATTATATGGAAGGGGGGGATGTAAGAGTGAGAAGACTTTTCTGTCGAACTCAGTGGTATATGAGGATTGATAAGCGAGGCAAAGTGAAAGGGACAAGAGAAGCAAATAACAACTACAGTAAGTAATATTTTTGATTTTCCTATTTCTAAGTGTTTAGAAATTTACACATGGTTTTCTATTCTTTATCATAATTTCGAAAGAGTTCTGTATCGTGTACTGACCATTGTGTAAAACAAGTTTTCCAATTAATYGTAGAGCAGACATTTGCTATTGATTTTGAAATGCGTCATTTTAAATCCTACATTGTAGATCTGCTAATGTATTAGTTACAGCTGGGAACTATTAGCAAACAGAGAGCCTATTTTAACAAGTGAACTAAAGTTGTAAGTACGAAAATGTATAACCACCAAGTCTGCCCATAAAATACTCCTGAAACACTAAACCACATTTATATAGTGTACAAACTACCTAAAAGTTTGGTGTGTTTGAGTTAACAATGAAAACATATGCTATACTAAAAARCTCAATGGAAAGAATTATGTAAACTCTCTTGCAAAATCTTTTAGATAGTTTGCCAAGCCAGGAACAAAATCTATTATAGTTTCTGCAGTTCATTATTACAATGATCATGATGCTGAAAAAATATTCTCCCCCCTTTCTTCCAAAATCATGACTCATCTAGAGAGAATGGACATATAATATTTTACAAAGCTGTACCAAGTATGAATTCTGAACTGGAAAAAGAATTGCTGTACTAATATGTATTTTCCACACAATATCTATATAAACTTCAATTTACACTTGAAGGCATCAATTTTTACAGTCACTATTTTGCCACTTTGTCTTTTGTGTTGTTACAAATTTATTGTTTATTTAGGGAAACATGACATCTGCTTGAAAAGACATTACTAAGATATAAGGAGAAAATACATAGGATTATTTTTAAAAAGTTATAATGAAAAGGGGCCAGGGACATGCTGGTCCAGTGTTTAAAGACAAATAAAAGGACAAATATAATTCCAAGAATGCTGTTAAATACAGTTTTAATTTGTTGTATATAATTATGTGCTTTTCATAACAGCAGCAGCAAAAGAAATCAATAAATCAAACTTCAAGAACTGTGTGTTTCAGCTGAATGCTTGTTTCCTATCAGAACAGCACTTTCGTGTGCTTTGAGCCTGCCTAGTGGGCTTCATAATTTATTTCTTTACTTCATGACTATATTAACGGCTTGGCAACTTGTGTGGCTAAAACTGCATCGCCTAATGTTACTGTTTCTTTTAAAATTTGTTTCTATATGTGTACTTTCTTCCTACACTATTACACAGTGAATATTCCTCTGAAAGACAACACATGGCCAGCAGCCAACTCAATTATTTGGTCCATACTCAAGAAGACTCCTTTTGAGTTTCAAGAGGGCATTGCTACAATAGACATCCATAGGGCTAGTTTTTGAAATGAAATGTTGTTGTCATAAAGTCATTGGAAAAATTGTTGTTGAAACTGGTTCTTCTAAATTAATGAAGATAAGTGAATATTCACAGTACCAATCATTTTCTGTTATTATTTACAAACACGTTATGACAGTATCTAAAGCTGAGTAACTACACACACAGTTGCTTTTTTTAATTCCATGTTACCCGAGTAAAAAGTTTGTTAGCAAATTAGCATTATTTCTAATTCAAGCAGAGGTTCTCAGTTCTCTGAAGGATCCAATTCTGCTTAAGCACTTTAATGACACCTTTAAACATTCTGTAGTGAGCCCATTAGAGAACACCAGATCTCTTGTGCCAGTGATGTGGTCTCTTGCAGTTTTCTGAACACTTTATGATAATTCAGTGATGTAACAAATTACAGAAAGGCAAACTTGAGTCACTAAACCATTTCACTTATATTTCAGTGGAAAAACAATTGAATCCTTTTTCTGGTAAACACAACGAGTATCAGGAGAAAAACCAAAATTTTAATGGCTATCTGGTAACTGATGTGCACTGTGATGAACTGTCATTTAATCTGGCTGAAGTATGTAGGAAGTTCCCACCRTCTTAAGTCAAATACTCCAATTTATTGTACCTTAGGGAACAGGATCCAAATGCTTTTGTTGGACAAGTAGAATAGGCAAATACAGACAAAGAGGACTAAAAAAAAGTGAACACTGATAATCTGGATTTTCTGAGAAACTCAAAAAATTAGCTTTGTAGTATTATTGTAGAAACACTTTTTGTCATACCCTTTGTTCAACAAAAGATGTAAACAGCTTTTCTGAAGATGTGCTTATGGCTGTCTACTAAAATTCATAACCATAAAAAAAATATTATGTGAGGGGGCAAAAAGCAAAACAAGCAAACAAACAACAAAGAGGGAAAAAAAACCCCTCACCTGGTCTAGTACACCTTCCCTAATAAAAAAATTTTAACATGAGAACACTAAACAGGCTATTTTTATCCAGGGTCTCTAAAAAGCATAATTTTAAAACCACACCCATGAAAAGGATGTATTTTTGTGTGTGTTCTCTCTTCTTCCATGATTTCCAGTTCTGAAACTTAGTAAAAGGTAAATCAAACCTGTTTCTTAGGCTGGAATACCAGAACCGCTGCAGTCAAACTAATCAATGGACATGAAAAGTGTTACTCCAAGAGGTTTCTTCTCATTTTATCCTAATTTTACACTAACACAACAAAYAAAAAGAATTCTTTTCCCTTATGAAACTGCTAACCTGTGCTACTAAAATAAAACATGAAATAGCATATTTTTATCTATCTTAACTTAGCTTCATGAAGGAACCTGCCCTGACAGTTTTGTAGATCAAATGAACTACTTCTTTGCAGCCCATGAGATGTGAAGCATGAATATTGTGAAGAACAATCTTCACATTGAGAAATGTCTGTAGAAAGATAATTTCATCACAACTTTGGCAAGTGCCAAAATTCATAGCGGTATTCTTATCAGTAGGGACTATGGGAATTTAAGATGGTGAGGAATTAGGGCCTTTGTATTTCAAACTTCTCTGGTTACAGAATAAATTTACATATACACACAATACTACAAAAGTAGCAGCACAAATAGTGAAAGTGTGAACATTTTTAAGGTTTTAAGTTAACAGCCACTGTATTAAATGTGTGTGGATTCAAATTTCATGRCATAACTAAATGTTGAACCAAATCCTCACTTGGCAATTGTAAATAATCTGTATGTGTCATTCACTTGCTTCAAAAGACAATAGAATTCAACTGCTTAGTTCAAGAAATAAGCGTGCTGTCTCAGTGCAGTGAATTGCCAAATCCTGTTCACAGCAGTGATGACCTTGTTAGGTACCCAAAGAATGGTTCTGTGCACATTTCAGAAAGCAGTAGAGCCTTCTGGTGGACATAAAGGTGATAACTCAAGAGTGAACTAATCAAATCAGAGGACAGTGATCTCCACTAAGCAGGGGAAATCACTTTGCACCTGACAGCTTTGCTTTCAGTCTGAAAACTAAATGGCAGAGTGAGAATTGAGAGTCACTCACTGAAAACTAAAGCAAGAATTAGGCAGCAGCCAAGAGGTTAGGTCACCCAGAAAAATCTGTCATTAGTCATAAAAAAATTACCCTTTGACAGAAACTTACTATAACTTGTTGAAGCCTAAACCTTTTCAAAGAAAAAAATAAATTTTATATCTTGCTCAAGGAAAAGAATCTCAGTGGGCACACAGAACACACTTTTTGAATTCATGATTGTAAAATGCAAGATTGACTGAACGAATCTTGGAGTTAACAAGGGAATTTGCTAACTCTTAATCTTTGATAGAAAGAGAAATCTCTCCTTACCACTGTTTACTCTTTCCTTCATTTCAGTTTGTATTTCAGAATTTTGTCTGATTCCACTTAATTTTGGTTAAAGAAAAAAAAAAAAGGTAGCAAAAATCAGTTTGTTTTGACCCTATCCAGGAGGATTTATAACTATGTCTGGATGATGCTTCAGGACTTCCCATGCTCTGTTGCCTTTGGAATCTCATTTTAAAGACTTCAAAGGGTCTCTTAGTTACTAGAAAAGCCTTCCCGGAACCTGAGTCCTAAGATGTCTGATCCTATCATATTCCATGTGTGCTCTAAACCCAGAAAGTGCCTATTTCCTCTTCTTTTCAGTGGATAAAGCCAACAAAAAAAAAAAAAAAAAAAAAGTAGAAAAAGCAGTCTAGTGAGATCTTGACATAAAATGGCTGAAATCTTGATTAGAATTTTATCTTGGAAAACTACTTCTGTTTCGACCCAAATCCAACAAGTCATGGTTTTCAGCAACATTCAATTAACTCCAACTCAGTCTTGCTCAAATGTAAACCCTAGCTGATGACTTTGTACACATCTTAGTGGTTAAACACTCCAACTTGCTTAGAAATCAGAATTACTTCCACTAGCATTTTATATACTCTTCTTAGCATAAACCAAATGTATGTATGCTGYGTATAAATTTTATTTCAGTCACTTAAAAACATATTACATAGAGAAACTAGAAGATTCAGCTTCTGAAAATCAGGTATTTCAAGGCAGGTATTGATGGATTAGTTTCAGTTAAGGATTATGTGTGTTCCAAACAAACAGAAAGTCTGTCTCTGCAGCTGCATTCTTGATTTTTCAAGAGGTTGTTGGTTCAACCAACACATTGATGTCAGGAGAAGACAAAGCTATATCAACATGAAAATGCTTTTGCTTCACATCAGTACTCTGCTGATCTTTATAACAGGAGATTTCACTCAAATAGAAATATATGCATATCCTCTCAAAACCTAGCCCACAGCACCAAGAATTATTTCCTCTCCCACAGTGATTAATCAGATATTCTATTATATAACAGAATAATTATATATTATATATTCTAAATATTCTAATACCAGACTTCCCTGCTGCCTCTCCAGTTCTTTGGCACTGGGGGGATGTACCAGCCCTCAAGTTTCAGCCAGCAGAGAGATCCATGYCTGTCCCTCAGCCTATGCCTTATCACAAATATCACAAATCCCAGGTTTTCACCCTCAGCTGCTGCTGAACATGGGTTTAACAACGATGCAAACCACAGAGCCAGCTGAGCTATATCTGTTTTACAGCTTCCATCGACTTTTTTGGTAAGTGTAGCCTTTGGGGA